GAAGAAAACGATGACCCGATCCTTGAACTCCTCCACGCCCTGCTTTACCACCTTGGATCTGCAGGTGCCGCCTTCCCCTTGCCAGGCCAGAACTTGGCCCTTGGCCTCCTGGTTCCAGGGGCTGTCAAGGATGGCGTGCGGTTCATTGTTAAAGTCGCCCATGGCCATCCAAGGGGCCCTCATCTGGCAGACCCAGTGCACGATGGTGTCCAGCAAGGCCGCGTTCAAGGCCCAGGTGACGGGCTTGCCCGTGAACAGGTACACCGAGAAGAAGGCCACCCAGCCGATGTCCTTGACCTCGGTCATGCCCAAGCACAGCCTGCCTGCGGCGCCTGCGGGAGAGATGTCCCACGACGTCTGGCCTGGCGCCAGGCTGAGGCTCAGGCAGCGCGGCGTGACCAGCGCCACACCCGCGGAGTAGCCGCCCTCCGCCGTGCGCACGGCAGGCGCACCCACAACTCGCCAGCCCCGTCGCTCTTGCGCCGCCGCAGTGACGTGGAACCACTCGGCGGGCTTCGCGTGCTCCTGCACCGCAACGACGGGGACGCCGCCGCTCTTGATGAGCTGGCCGATCTCATCGCCCATGAACTCTTCGACGCGAGCCCAGGAGAGATCGGCGTTGAAGGTGGCGGCGATGACGTGTCGAGCCCCTCGCCGAGTGCGTCGGCGCCTCTGAGACGGCCCAGCTGGGGCAGTCCCAACGAGCTGCGCCCTGCAAATCTCACCCGCCCAGCCGCCCTCAGAGAAGCCAACCCCGTGCAGCTCCTCCTCGTAAAGGCCCTCGCTCGTCCAAAACTGGCCGTCCTCGCAGGTCGCCCAATCGAGCAAGGGCGGGCCCGCGGGCCCATCAAAGAGGCGCCTTGGGGAGCGCCGCCTCGCCGTGGTGGTCGTAGAAGGAGCCCAGCACCACCCGCTTGGCGGCTCGCTCCTCCTCGGGCAGCCCGCTGAGGTACTGGTCCACCAGCTCGTCTCGCTTGCGCTTCTGCTCCTCCACCGAGCCGCCGCCGCCAGCCGCCGAGGCCGCAGCAGCAGCCCCCCCTGGGGGCGCGGCAGCCGCCGCTGCATCAGGCCCCCCAGGAGGCGCGGCGGCAGCAGCAGCGGGGGCCCCTGAGGCCTGAGGGAGCTCCTTGACCAGCTTGAGCATGTTCTGGAGGGACTCCGCGAGCGGCTTGGGCACCGAGTCGCCGTCGCCCTCGGTGCCCCCCACCAGCTCCTCCAGGTTCTGCACGAGCTGGCTGATGACCGCCTGCCCGCAGTGGGGGCCACCGCCGAGAGGGCCCGCTGCCCCAGCTGGGGCCTGCTCCTCAGCAGCCACTCGCCTGGCCAGTTGAGCCTTCTCCTCCTGCAGCTGCTCCAGCTCCTTGCTGGCCGCCTCCTGCATCCGCTGAGCCTTGGGTCGGGCCCAACCCAGCTATACCTTGGGGGGTAGCGCGGTGACACCGCATGCCTGGCAAGATCTGGACGGTCACCAAACATAAGTTGCCAGGCGCGCGTTGGTCTTCAGATGATCATGCCAAGGCGCGGGCCATGATGCAGGGAAAAAGTGGGACGTGCATGGGCATTGTGCGAGAGTTGGCACTTACAACTCTAATTGTGGATCGCCTGAAGCATGCGCTCCTTGAACTCCCGATGCTTCTGCACCCCCTGGGATACTCCTGGTGCCTCGGTTGGCCTCCAGCGGAGACCCGGGCAACCGAACAGGAACGATGCCTGGGCGCCGCCATCGCTTCCGTCCCCGCATGGTGCCAGCGGGGAAGGGCTGGCAAAAGTATTTTTGCCGGCCACCCCCCGCGCGGTGCCAAACAAGGCCACCGATTTTTTGCCGGCCCCATTTTTTACAGGGTTGGCGAAAATCCGCGGTGACCGCCGGCTGGGGCTGGCAAAAATATTTTCGCCGGCCCGACACCCCTGGCACCAGCGGAACGCCACAGGCACCAACACCGGCGAATCCAGTGCCGAACTTGACCCAACGGCGCGGTGGGTGACATTTTTTTTCGACGGTGCTTCCGAGATTCATGCGGCGCCATCTGCCCCGTTATGTGCACCCCTGCCCCCTGCCCTCGTCGTCCTTTCCCCATCCCCCATCTCTCACTCCCCCCTCCAACTGCTCCTCCCTCATCCCACTCCTCCCTTTTTCTCCTTTGATCTAACACAATTTGTATGTCAGCCTGGCGATGTCACCACGGCGATGTCACCACGGCCCTCAATATGGTGACGATTTGGTGCCCATCTTGCGGCCGCCTATATGATATCTATAACACCAAGGCAACGCCACTTTTAGCTGGGTTGGGCCCGACCCAAGCTGAGCCTCAGCCAGGCGCTGCTGAAGCTCGGGCACGACCTCATCGCGCTGGCGAGCGAGCTTGCGCTGCGCGGCGGCCATCTTGCCCTCCAACACCTGCAGCTGCTGGTGCAGGGGCTTGCCTGCCCGCTTCTGGGCGACAAGGGTCGCCCTCTCCGTCCGCTTGGCCTCGATGATGGGCCCGAGGCTGGGGTCGGCGAGGGACTCCAGCATGCCGATCGACTTGTCGAGCACCGCGATGGGGTCGGGCGGCACAGCAGTCTTGGGCTTGAGCAGGTCAGTGCCAGCCCCGAAGTAGCCCCAATCAGCGCCAGCAGAGCCGCGAGGAACGGGGCCAGCCACGAAGCCCGTGTCCTTGCCCTTGTCTCCCTTCTCCTTGCCTTTGCCTTTGGCCTTACCCCCAGCTGGGGGGTTGGCCATCTGCCACGGTCGCCGCACAGAGGAGGAGCGGGACGCACGCGTGATGGCCGCCTGGATGTGCTTCGGCGCGGGGGCGAAACACTGGCGGCACTGCATCTTGGTCGCGAAGTTGCCTCCCGTGCCACAGTGTCCACATGTCCAGGGCCCGGCCCCCTGGAACGAAGAAAGAAACTGAAGCGAAGCATCCTTCCAAGGTGCCATCAACACGTTGTGGCTGGCAAAGAAGACGAGCAGGGCAGTTGAATACCGAATGTGCCCTGACTGGTGATGTCAGGGAAAGCTGCTGGGGGCCGTGTGCACCTCTTAGGCGCCCCCCAATGCCAGAAAGCCTCCGTCCGCTGCTGACGCCTGGGCCACGCTACGGACTTGAGCCAAAATGGCTTGAGCCAAAATGGCTACGGCCTCCCCCTCTCTCCCTCCTCCTCTTCCTGTGTATCCTCATCCTCCTCTTTCGCCACCACGGCCCTCCTCTCAGTGCTCACTCCATATTTCTGTTACGCTAAAAATGTTCATTCACCGACATGGTCAGAAGGAGTTCCACCGCGTCAGGCAATTCATTCAGAACCAGAAATAACACACGCAGGGAGGCCATTAGAAGTAACATCAGCGGCCCCCAACACCCTGGCAACCTGCCACCGCGATTGGGGCACGCCTACGAAACAGGGGGCGCACGGGGTAAACGGGGGGCCATGCAGCCCCGCCAAACCCGGATAGCCCCGTCGCCCTGCCCACGGAGAGCCGCCAAAACCGCATTGGTGCGTGGATTCGTCCTATCTAAGGAGACAAACTTCCATGCACCGACGTGGTCGGCCAGTAGGGGAAACCCCTAGAGGGCACCAGATGCTGATTGCACGTATTTGCGAATAGGTGCGCTGCATCGGCTTCTGCAAGTAACGCTTTGTATGGTGTTTGCTTAGGGAGTCGACAACCGCGCCCACGGCGCCCTGGTGGGGGTGCGCGACGCATGATGCTCTACGCGCCCGTGAGCAAGGAGGTTGCTTCCTTCGGGGCCCGATCGACGTTGGAAACACCATGTCGGCGCATGGATTCACTCCCCCAAGTCTGTGCTCTCACTGGTTGTGAGATTTGCGTGCTTCTCTCTCCCGGCGCGGTGGGGACTCGCCGTGACACCCGCTCGCGACGCGGGCTCATTTAGACCGGATGCTGTGCGGGGTAAGGTTTCCGCCATGATTTGCCTGCCTGTGGATTGCGCGTAGACTGAACTGGACTACCAGGCAAAGAGTGTCATGCCCGTTCGGACTCAGCGTGGAACCCAATGGCCAACATCGTAGATCGCAAGCAATCCCTGAACTTCTGAGGAGGCACCCCTAAAGTTATCATCTCATTGAGATTTTCGATCTGAGGGATGCACAAAGATAAGCTCGAGGCTGGATGTTCCTTGACTGCTTCATGCTGAATCAGTAGCCGCGTTCCTCCACTAGAGGCCTCAAATGGGGTCCGAGCAGATGGGGTGGGAGGATCGCGCCGCATCGCCGATTCATCGGCGACATCGGCGTGGAATTAATCGGGCCCCGCATCGAGCCCCCCATCTGCTCGGACCCTATTTGAGCGACGAGAAGATGAGGGTCCTACGCGATATGACATAGCGAGTTACGCCGCTGCTTACGCGGGCCGCCAGCGCGGCACGCCACAATGGAAGCGAGGGCGATGACACTCCATCACACGCGGGAAACTCACGCCCAAATGCCAGCGGAATCGACCCCGTTTTCCTGCGTCGCTCGCTTGATAGGCCTGGATCCATCCACCGCGCAGGACCACATATGCTGCATGAGCATAAGCTGTATGAACATAAACCGCGAGGAAACACTGCATGAACATAAACTGTCGGAGCTCCACGCGGATGTCTTGACACTGCGCTGGAGCCCCAGGGCGGCGCCTCCAGAGACGCCCCTGCCGCGCTCCGCTCGCCAGGGAGAGCGTCCAGCGCCAATTCAAGAAATCCGCGAGGAGCTCCGAAAATTGATGTTTATGCAGTTTCTTCTTCTTAGAAGTTGGAATCGGCGGCGCGCCTGGGGGGGGGAGTGAGAAGGGGCACCCCTCCTGAGGAGGCTCGGAAGGCCTCCGGCCTACTGAGAGGTTGCTGAGCCTTCCCCCAGGACGCCGGCAAACTCCCCCAAGGCCGGGGTGCTTCTGAGAAGAAGCCCCGCCGCCTCCTGAGGAGGCCTCCTCCTCCTCAGCTCCCCCCCCTCTCTTGCTCGCCGCCGACGAGAGGCCCGAACACCATCCTGCCGTGCTCCGATCCCCCACCGACGGCCGCCTCGCCAGGCGTCCCCGCGGCGCTCGGCGCCGGCCGCGCTGCGCCGCGCGGGGCGCCTGCGGAGGGCGGCGCCGACTCGCAGAGGCAGCGGCGGCCGGAGTGCAGGCAGGCGGCGGCGACTGGATCCGTTAGGCGGCGCGAGGGGGGGGGGGGGGGGGGGAGCCAGATGCGAACCCTACCCCTACCCCCCACGATTTCTGAGGAGGAGGGTGGGGTTCACTCCGTTCGGGAGCTCCCGAGCGAAGTGAACCCCACCCTCCCCCCCCCAGAAATCGTGGGGGGTAGTGGTAGGGTTCGCATCTGGCCCCCTAGGGGGGGGGGCAGGGGTGAAGGGGGGAAGGCTTCCTCAAAGGACGCTGCTTCTTGGAAGGCGCCAGTCCTATATCTGTAGGGAAGGCCCGCGCCTTCCAAGGAGCTGGGGTGTTTCTAAGAAGCCGTCCTCCCCCTCCCCCTACCCGCATGTGCGCGTGGCCGATCAGCCTTGTCGCCATATTGTCGTCGTTACTCAGGTGAGCAAGCAGTGACGTAAGCGACACAACAACTCAGACGTCCGAGTGAGGGCCTGAACGACTACCAACAGTTAGGCCCACGATGGAGGTCGTGCGCTGTGAGCGAGCTCCCTGAAACAAAACATGTGCCCAACGGTGTTCGTGGGACATCGCGTTGGGCAACCCGCTCAGCTCAGGCCGAGGGCGCCCAGAAGGCGAGGAATGCAGAGGCCAAAGGGCGAGCCCGCCCAATGGCCTATAGGGACAGCGGCGCAGCCTGTATCGTCCCCTTCGCGCCACGAGCGCGACCAATGGTCAGCGCGGCAGCAGGATGGGCAATGCTGCCCATGGACCCATGGACGTGACACCACGGTCAGCACGAGATGAGAGATGAGGGGTAACCGAAAAGTGAAGTCCCGCCTGTACAGCCAAGACAGGGCTGCCCCTCATGACACAGCAAACAAGACTAATCGGAATCATCCTCATAAGGATTCCGAGACGGAAAGACAAGTGGGCCCTCGTCGTCCTCGACCTCTCGGGATTCAACGACCTGTCGGAGCACATGTCTGGGATCCGCGACATGACCAGGCAGACGGCACGGGCTCCGCAGCTACAGTGCCTCGCCCACCCTGTACAACAGCAGTGCCTGTGGGGACCTGGCCAGCCGCCTCGCGAGCTTGCACTCTCGTTGCCAGTGCCAGCATGCCTTCTGTCTGAACGAGGCCGCAGGGGCCAGGGACGGACAGACCGACATCAGGAGGCGGCGGTAACGTAGCGGCATAGCACAAATACGCGACACCTCGGCGAGAGGACGTGCCCACCGTGACGTTCGTCTCACGGCAGGACGGGTGTAAGCCTGAATAGATACGACGAAGAGTTGTGGAGGCGCCTGTCAGCCTGCGCTGCACGCACCCTTTCCCGAGCACGCGACACCTGGCGGCAGTGTGTGTACCGCACACGATGCAGAAGACGAGTTGCCTGTCCACCTCACCCTTTTAAACCAAGCAAAAGGCCAACCATGAAAACTCGGGTGACCGCATTTCTCGGATCGGCGCTGGAGGCGCCGCCAGGAGGCCCCAGCGCCGATCCAAGAAATCCGAGCGGAGCGCAAACTTTTAATGTTTATGCAATTGTCTGTTCCCCTGCTACTCTCGTCACCGTAGTCCAACCACTTTTTGCGCCAATCTGCTCGTGTAGCTGAGCAAGCCCACAGGCCGGGCCCGAATAAGCAACTGTTGGGGCGAGCGAAAAGGCAGAGCCTACTCACATCTGTTGTTTTTTTTCGGCGGGTGCATTTTCGGATGCAGGGGACGCGACGACAGCATCGAACATTACGCAGTGTGCGCGCCGTTTCACCAGCTGTGCCTGAAACATCTGCGTCTTGAAGCGGCGCCGGCCGCAGAGCGACTGGCCGATTCTTTGTGTGTGAGTCCATGTCTATCGGGTGTTGCTAGAAGTACCCCTAGAATCCTGGGGACACTTTGGCCCAGGGGCACTTCTAGCAACACCCGAGTCTAGTCTCCCTGCCAGTGCCCCTCCGGGCGGGCGGCGGTGTCGCAAACAGCGGCGGCATTTGCGTGCCATTGGCGTTTGTGCCCTGTGCAAGCTGCACGCGGGGCTGACGCCCACGGCGGGGCTCTCCGTGCCGATCTCGACGGGGCCTCGGAAAAAATAGCGAACAATCATGCCAGATTCATCTGTGAACGACTCCCCTTCCCCCCAATGTTCAAAGCTGGCGGTGGGTCTGATGATTCGCACCTCGACCGCAGTCTCCCCCGCGCGTGCCAACTTTGAGTTTGGGGGGCAGGGGGGGTGTTCACAAATTGTTTCCGTCTACCGGAGTGCGCGGTTCGACACGGGCGATTTCGCTCGTTCTCTCTGCTGTTTGCTGGCTTCGTTGCCGTCGCTCCTCCTCCTGGCATTCACACCTGGAAATTGCCAGTCAACCGCAAGGGTTGTATTTAGCTTTTCTCCTCTTCCCTCTTCTGCCTTTTCTGCCTTTCTTCCCCTCATTCCCTCTTCCGTTTGCTCGCGCTCGGCACAATACGCATTCTGGGTAACTTTAACCTTTCGCTGTGATACGAATCCGGGGCATTTTCGTATCATTATTGTCCTACTCTTGGTGCTTATCTCTGGCGGTCGGCGCCCATGGCCAAGCTGGACGTTTTCTTCTTCTACTCTCCTCCTCCTCTTCTTTCCCCCCCTCCTAAGTTAACGTGGTCATTCACGGAGCTCGGGCTCTGCTCTGACATTTCTTCTTCTTTTTTTGTTCCGAGGTCGCGCGCTAAGGCTCGCCTAATGCAGGTTGGCCCGTACGCTGCACCTGTGTTTTGGAGCTCCCTATCCGCTTCCCTCTCCCTCCTCCTTCCTCCGCCCTCTCTGCTCACATATGCGGCACGATTTCGGCCACATTCGCAGGACAGGCCTGCTGCTGGGCCGTAGCTTTGTTCCGTATTGGTTCCGCTTGTGCGGAGCACGCTTGTTTTGAAGGATCGTGACTATGATGCAAAAAAATAGAGCATACGCACAAGGGCATCCTTCTTTTTTCACGCAATCACAAAATCCGCGAATCGAAAAGTCGCCTGGCAAATCGGGAACAACGCACAAGCCAACGTGCAATAAGCAAATTCACGTAATGAGCCGTGGTCTGAACGACACATCGACAATGCACTTGCGAGAGGAGGAAAGAAGACGAAAGAACAGGAGAGGGAGGAGAAAGAGGTGATCGAAAGGTACCGATACTGCTACTCACCGGACCTCTCCCGGGGTGCGTTCTGACCAGAATTTCGAAGTGAATCCAACGGTGGCGACGAGGGCATCCCGGGAGGCGCGTGAAGGCGAAAATGAAACAAGGGTAATGGTATCAGTATCTTTTCCTCCGCTGAGTTGGGTGATCAAAAAGGCAAATCTTACTCTGCAGTGCAACAACGGGTCCGGCATCGAGACCCCGCCCAGAATCTTGCTCGACGAGGCCCGTCCGTACCCCCAAAAAGTAACCCCCCCTATTATGAGATCCGGCGTGTTCACATCTGCGCCTTGATTCTCATTCGCTCTCTCTGTCGCTGGCAGGGCGCGACTCACGAAGGGCCTCCGGCGTCTCCGCGGTGTCCTCTTCGGAGCTCTATGCGCTGGGCGCTTCCAGGGCCCCTGCGGGCCGTTTTTCCGCGCCCCTTGCGAAGGCCTTCGGCGTTTGGAGCTCTGCTGGGCCACTTCGGGGTCGCCGAGCGGCTCTCCTCGGGCCTTGCGGCGCGGGCCCTCCTCGGGCCCCGCGGCGAGGCGCCTGCAGAGGATGGCGCGTGCCGAAGCGCCGGTCCTGAGAGTGGGGCGAGAGTTTGGTGGCAACGCATGGGAGCCTCCCATACCATCTTGTCGGTTCTTGCGAATCGACGCTAGTCGACGCTAAATCGACGCTCATCGACCCTAAATCGACGCTAACCGACGCTACATCAGCGCTATCTCATCGACTCCCAGACGCAAATCGACCCTAATCGACTCTACAGACAGAATGACGAGGGTACACAAGGCTCCTATGAGTTGCTGCCGAACGAGAGAGAGCGCCCAACGTGGCTTTGAAAACCTCCCTCTTACCTCCCTGCGAGCTCTGGCGCCCAACACTGGCGCAACGGTGGTCCGAGGAGCCCTCCATCGGGGGCCGCCGCTTTCGGGAGTGGGGCGCGCCGACTTGTGGGGGTCCAGCCACACCCCCTACCTTACGGTAGTTACCATCACCAGGGGGAGAGAGGTTATAGCAACTCTCGGAGTTCCGCGCGGATTCTTCGGATCGGCGCTGGAGCCCCTGGCGGCGCCTCCGGCGACGCCCCAAGCGCGCTCCGCGCGCCAGGGACGGAGGTCCAGCGCCGATCCAAGCAATCAGCGTGGAACTCCGAAAGTCCATGTGCACGCCAGTATTGAAGGGCCCGGGGAGACACGCACAAATATATACAGATTCCACGTGTCCTTACACTTTTCGACTGTATTATGTCCGCTTCCCTTACATCTCCCACAGATCCCACAGATCTTCATACAAATATCGGCGATTCTTTGTGTGCGTGTGCCTACTCTCCCGTGTCCTGAATTTTCAACCTTTGCAGAGAGCAGGCCACCATACCCCCAGACTCGGGTGTTGCCAGAACTGCCTCTGGCCCAAGGTGCCCCCAGCACTTCCAAGGGCCCCCTCACGATGTCCCTCCACGGCCTCCAGAGAGCACCCCCTCACGATGCCCAGAGCACCCCTCACGGGGCTCCAGAGTGCAGCGACAAGCTGGGGGCACCTTGCGCCGTGGGGGCACACTGCAGCAGCCCCCGACCAGACTGCGGGCCTGCCTGCCGCAGCTGCGCTTGGCAGTCTCAGCGCCAGCGCCGGCGGCGCCGCCACAGTGGCGGGGGCAGCGCGGGCCACCTCGCGCGGGGGCGCGGCGGGAGAGGAGCGGCGCAGGCTGGTGCCCAGCGAGGGGACTCGAGCAGCGTCGAGCTTATCCCTACCCCTGGGATTGGTAAGCCCGAAAGGCGATGACGATTTCTGGGAATGCGCCATCAGGAACTGAGCGAGCGGGTCCTGAAGATCGGCATCGAGATGAGGTGATGCCAATCGTAGGTGTGGGGGTATGCTTCAGGCTGGTAAAGTCAGAGGCGTCGCGGCCTTCCGTTGTCCCCCACTCAAAGAGCGAATGTCATGAACATACTTTCGGAGGTCCTGGCGTTAGGGCTTGTTCGCCACTTTAGGCCCTTACCATGTGGCCAGTGCACACTATGGCTCCAAGATGGCCTGCGACAGCCCAGTATGGCCTCTAGTATAGTACCAGATGGCCCAAATTGGCCCTGGACGACTTACAGTATGTCTTCAAGACAGTCGAAGCAACCACCAACATGATGCCTCCCATGTGACAGTGGGTGTCCCCAAACGAATCTCCCAAACAAACAAATCGAATGACCGATAACTGTTCAATCCGCTGGTCCCCTTGTGGGGCCGTCAGGCTGCGAGGCTGAGGGTTGCAGTACCCTGCACCGGTTCCAGTTTCCAGTCTCCAATGCTACAGTCCTGCTTTCTGCTTCCTACTTTAAAGTGTTGAAGTCCGCGCGAGAGGGGGGGAACCGAAAAACACCCGGTTACCACCCCCGGATCGGATTGCCTAAATTCCTGCGGGGCCGTGGGACAAGTGAAAAAACATGGGATTCGCGCTCCCGACGCAATAATCCATTGCACATTATACTGTGTTCGCGCCCCCGAGGCCGCGATCCCGTGCAAATTGCACAACAGTCGCGTCCCCGAAAACACGATCCCTTTGTAAAATATACCATGCTCGCGCCCCCGAGGCCACGATCCCCAGTGAATTACATAATATTCACGCCTCTGTGGCCACGATCCTTTGTAAATTACTCCGCACTTGCGCCCCCGAGGCCACGATCCCCCATAAATTACCCCACGTTCGCGCCCCGGAGACCACGATCCCTAATAAATTACACCATGTTCGCGCCCCCGAGGCCACGATCCTTTGCAAATTACACAACATTCGCGCCCCCGAGGTCACGATCCCTTGCAAATTACACCACACTCGCGCCCCCCAGGCCACGATCCCTCGTAAGTTACAATGCGTTCGCGCCTTTGGGGCCACGATCCACCATAGATTACACCAGAGTTGCGCCTTCGAGGCCACGATCCATCGTAAATTATACCATGTTCGCGTCCACGAGGCAGGTAACCCTAGCAAATTATACAATTGTTGCGCCTCCGAGGCAACAATCCCTTTTAACTGACACAATTCTCGCGTCCCCGAAGCCATGATCCCTCGCAAGTTGCGCAAAATTTGCGCACACGAGGTAACAAACCCTGGTAAATTAATCAAATATTGCGTACCCGAGGCAACAACCCATGTAATGTATACAATATTTGCGTCCCCGAGGCCACAAACCTTCGCAAAGTGCTCAATTCTTGTGCTTCCGAGACACCAAACAATCGTAAAGGATTAAATGCTCGCGTCCACGTGGCCAAACACCCTCGCAAATTAAGCCATATTCGTGTTGCCGAGGCCAAGAATGCTGCAAGGCGCCCTAAGGTGGTTCCGAGACGGCCCGAGAGGGGCCCCCCAAGAGGCCCCAAGAGGCCTCACGAGAGTCCCATGAGGTGTTTGAAGGAGTTGGCGTTATCACATGTTCGGCTTTCCGACGCTCCAAGATGGCTCAAGAAGCTCCCAAGGCCGCACCAAGACAGCCCACGACGCCTCCAAGAGGGCCCCAAGACGGCCCGAGAGGCCTCCAAGATGGCCCAAGAAGCGCTCCCCAGGAGGCCCCAGGAGGCGCCCAAGACGCGCCAAAGCGGCCTCCAAGAGGCCCAACAAATACCCCACGAGGCCCCAAGAGGCCCCCAAGAGGCGCCGAAACCGTCTCCAAGAGGCATCCGAAAGGCTCCCCACGACACCCCAACACATATACAAACAACCCAGACACGGTGGCGGGATGAGCCGAAGGCCACTAGGATCCGCCGCCCCCTGCTTGCAGGGGTGCACGGCGTGCTGGATGATTCAGGTTTTGGTTTTGGTTCTTTTTCTAAAAGAATCGAAGACGCCTACGGCGAATCACCGCCGCCCCCTGCCTTTTTGGAAGCGCCTATGTGGCCGAACGTTGAGGCCAGACCTGCCAAGCTATCGGACCACGTGTTCCCCGAATCGGTTTGGAAAGCCTTCGGGGAACACGTGGGCATCTTGAAGGTCATCTTGGCCGTCTTGGAGGCCTCTTGGGCAAGCTTTGGGCGATCTTTGGGGCTTTTTGGGCCGTCTCGGGCCAGCTTCGAGCCAACTTCGGCCATCTTGGTGGGTTCCTGGCACGTCTGAAGCCGTCGGAAGCCGTTTGGGGGGCCTCTATGGGCCGACTTGGGGCCCGCTTGGAATGCTCCAGGGCCGTCTTGGAGGCCATCTTGGGCGTCTGGGAGGCCATCTTGGGCGTGTTGGAGGCCTCTTGGGCCCTCTTGGGGCCCTCTAGGGGCCATCTTGGAGGCCACTTGGGCCATCATGGGGCTCTCTTGGGGGCCTCTTGGGCGATCTTGGGGGCTTCTTGGGCCGTCTTGAGCCGTCGGAGAGCCGAAAAGGCGCAAATGCCAAAATCCTTCAAAAACCAATGGGAAATCAATGATTTTGGCCTCTTCGGACTCTCCTGGAGGACCTCTTGGAGGCCTCTTGGGCCGTCTGGGAGGCCTCTGGGGGGCCTCTTGGGCCGTCTTGGGCCGTCTTGGACTCTCTTGGGCCGTTTTGGAGGCCGTCTTGGACCATCTCGGGCGGACTTGGAGGCCATCTTGGGCCATCTTCGCGATTTTTTGAGGATGTCCCGAGCGAAACGGCCGTTTTTGGGCATTGACAGATGGATTTTGGGAAATGCGCGGGTGGCCGGCGGGACGGGCCGAAGCCCACTGGGGAGTTCTTTTAGAAAAAGAACCAAAACCAAAACCTGAATCATCCAGCACGCCGTGCACCCCTGCAAGCAGGGGGCGGCGGATCGAAGACGCCTACGGCGAATCACCGCCGCCCCCTGCCTTTTTGGAAGCGCCTATGTGGCCGAACGTTGAGGCCAGACCTGCCAAGCTATCGGACCACGTGTTCCCCGAATCGGTTTGGAAAGCCTTCGGGGAACACGTGGGCATCTTGAAGGTCATCTTGGCCGTCTTGGAGGCCTCTTGGGCAAGCTTTGGGCGATCTTTGGGGCTTTTTGGGCCGTCTCGGGCCAGCTTCGAGCCAACTTCGGCCATCTTGGTGGGTTCCTGGCACGTCTGAAGCCGTCGGAAGCCGTTTGGGGGGCCTCTATGGGCCGACTTGGGGCCCGCTTGGAATGCTCCAGGGCCGTCTTGGAGGCCATCTTGGGCGTCTGGGAGGCCATCTTGGGCGTGTTGGAGGCCTCTTGGGCCCTCTTGGCGCCCTCTAGGGGCCATCTTGGAGGCCACTTGGGCCATCATGGGGCTCTCTTGGGGGCCTCTTGGGCGATCTTGGGGGCTTCTTGGGCCGTCTTGAGCCGTCGGAGAGCCGAAAAGGCGCAAATGCCAAAATCCTTCAAAAACCAATGGAAAATCAATGATTTTGGCCTCTTCGGACTCTCCTGGAGGACCTCTTGGAGGCCTCTTGGGCCGTCTGGGAGGCCTCTGGGGGGCCTCTTGGGCCGTCTTGGGCCGTCTTGGACTCTCTTGGGCCGTTTTGGAGGCCGTCTTGGACCATCTCGGGCGAACTTGGAGGCCATCTTGGGCCATCTGCGCGATTTTTTGAGGATGTCCCGAGCGAAACGGCCGTTTTTGGGCATTGACAGATGGATTTTGGGCAATTCGCGGGTGGCCGGCGGGACGGGCCGAAGCCCACTGGGGAGTTCTTTTAGAAAAAGAACCAAAACCAAAACCTGAAACGTCCAGCACGCCGTGCACCCCTGCAAGCAGGGGGCGGCGGACTTCCCAGTGGGCTTCGGCCCGTCCCGCCGGCCACCCGCGAATTGCCCAAAACCCATCTCTCAATGCCCAAAAACGGCCGTTTCGCTCGGGACATCCTCAAAAAATCGCGAAGATGGCCCAAGATGGCCTCCAAGTCCGCCCGAGATGGTCCAAGACGGCCTCCAAAACGGCCCAAGAGAGTCCAAGACGGCCCAAGACGGCCCAAGAGGCCCCCCAGAGGCCTCCCAGACGGCCCAAGAGGCCTCCAAGAGGTCCTCCAGGAGAGTCCGAAGAGGCCAAAATCATTGATTTTCCCTTGGTTTTTGAAGGATTTTGGCATTTGCGCCTTTTCGGCTCTCCGACGGCTCAAGACGGCCCAAGAAGCCCCCAAGATCGCCCAAGAGGCCCCCAAGAGAGCCCCATGATGGCCCAAGTGGCCTCCAAGATGGCCCCTAGAGGGCCCCAAGAGGGCCCAAGAGGCCTCCAACACGCCCAAGATGGCCTCCCAGACGCCCAAGATGGCCTCCAAGACGGCCCTGGAGCATTCCAAGCGGGCCCCAAGTCGGCCCATAGAGGCCCCCCAAACGGCTTCCGACGGCTTCAGACGTGCCAGGAACCCACCAAGATGGCCGAAGTTGGCTCGAAGCTGGCCCGAGACGGCCCAAAAAGCCCCAAAGATCGCCCAAAGCTTGCCCAAGAGGCCTCCAAGACGGCCAAGATGACCTTCAAGATGCCCACGTGTTCCCCGAAGGCTTTCCAAACCGATTCGGGGAACACGTGGTCCGATAGCTTGGCAGGTCTGGCCTCAACGTTCGGCCACATAGGCGCTTCCAAAAAGGCAGGGGGCGGCGGTGATTCGCCGTAGGCGTCTTCGATCCGCCGCCCCTTGACGATTCATCGCAGAGGTGCCTGGCGTGCTGGACCCTCTCGGTTTTGGTTTTGGTTCTTTTTTCCCGAACAACTCCCCCTGGGGCTCCGGCGCGTCCCGCCGGGGTCCCGGGGGATTCCCGAAAATCCATCTGTCAATGCCGTTGTTGCCCCAAATTGGCCCAAGATTCCCAAGATGGCCTCCAAGACGGCCAAGATGGCCTCCAAGATGCCTCCAAGACAGCCACGATTGCCTCAAAGACGGCCAAGATGGCTCCAAGATGCACCCAAGACGGCCCAAGATGCACCCAAGATGAACCCAGGTGCAGTCACACAGGCCTCCAAGAGTGGCCGCTCAAGTACTTGGACTACGATTGTCGTCGTCGTCGTCGCAGGTGCAGGTGCAGGTACACAGGACTCGAGCGGCCTGGCCGCAATGGAGACAAGGAGCCACGGGACACGTAAGGCTTCCAAAGGACGAGTGCGGCCCCGGCCGAGCCTGGGGCAACGTATTCTCCACCCTACCTCGATCCCCCTCCACTCGTCCCCGCCCCAATCTCATGTTCTTAGTTCTCCTCTTGGGTCCATGTCTTCTTCGGGCCTCTGGGGTGAGGGATCAGGGAGGAGGAGGGGAGGAGGGAGTGGGTACGGCTAACCCATGCCCCCTCGGGGGCGCCCCCTGTAGCGACACTCTGGGTGGTAGGTCCGCGGCTTCTGCGGGTGGGTCTTCTTTTTCGCGCTCGGACGGACCCACCACCGGCCAGAACATCCAGATCGGGGGCGGGAGTGTACAGCCCCCCTCGCCCCACATTCGCCATGGGGCGGTTGGGTCTCTGGACCTTTCCCCAGGCGAAGGGGCGGGGAGCGGATCCGGCGACGCCCGTGGTCCAGGCGCGCTGGCTGGCGAACGATTTGTTTCGGGGTCTTTGGAAGGGTGCCTTTTGGACCCATCGACACCGGCAGGTTGGACACGCTGTCAACGTAGGAATCTGCGTCGCAAACAGGACCGTAGGAAAGCTAGGAAGAGGAAGAGAGCTAGGAACCGATCCCTGGCGATGCGCAACTTGTCGCTTCTACGTAGGAAAAAAACGGAAGAACCAAGACATCACTCGTTACATCCCTGGGGGCGCTTGGAATACCCGTCTATCCGGAGCAGGCGATCAGGCCATGAACCAGGAGTTCAAAGGCAGAGTGTCTGTTCACGTTGATGAACATTCGGCGGTGGCAATTATGCTTGCTTTCCGATCTCGATTTCAATAAGAATGGGGTCCAGGAGTACGAGTATGGGGGAATTCAGGGGACCATAGTAGTCAGAGGGAAGGTAGGGATTGCATTGAGAGGGGAGTTGCCTAGGGAGTGGAAGGATGGGGGGGAGGACGCGGTTGTGACGGGAGGACATACTGGGTACAAGGTGCGGGTCTTGGGCGGCGTCTCCTCTTCGTGGTTTCCTCTTCGCGGGCTGCGGGAGGGATGCCCTTCCAGTCCCCCTTTGTTTAATGTGTTTCACGATGCATTGATGCAAAATTATCGTTTGCGGCGCAAGCGGCAGGCGGAAATCGCAGGAACGAGCCCTGGCATCCCTTGGGAATACCAAGTGGACGGCCGTTTACAACCAAGCGGTGGGGGCATCTAGTTTTGCCAGCACTCAGCGCACGACCACTATTGGGGACATAGGCTTTGCCGACGATGCAATGATCGCTGGTTTCGCGCGCGAGATGAAAACGGCGGAGCCATTATTAGTCACCACAATGGAAGATTGGGAGGAGAAGTTAAACAAGGGCAAGACTGAACGGCTTCGTTTGGGAGGCGGCCACCGGGGGCCTTACGATGTTCGCGCGGAATTCGAAGTCCCTTCGGTCCGTCACATCGGGGGGTGCGGCTCCCAGGCCGAGGACACAGCGAAACGAGTTGCTGCAGGGAATGCTATGGTACGTGCTTTGCTTTGGCCAAGGGGTGGTCCCTGGGGACTGCCCATGGCCGGGGGCGCACCAGCGGGGTGAGCATCACCACTCGGTTACAGGTCCTCCACGCGTGTGTGTCTCGTCCATGCTCTCGGGCGCCCGATCCCGATCTTGGTCGAAAGGCAAGGTGCGGCAAATTCAGAGGGTCGCCAACTACGGGGTCAGGCGGGCCTTCGGCATGGACGCTTGGATCATGATGGACCTTTCGGTGAAAGATGTCGATCTGTATAGGTCGTCCCAATGGAAGACCATCTGTTCCGCTTTAGCATGCAATGCCTGGGGCACGTCGCCCGCATGCCCGTTTGGCGCCGGCCCAAGCAGGCCCTTTTCGGCTGGATAGCCGGACGCAGTAGTGAGGAGCGCAGCAAAAGAATGTGGCAATACAATTACCTGCTGGCCGGTGTGCGACAACTGTCGATTCACGAGATAGATTGGTTCCGGCGTGCTATGAACCGGGGGGCGGGGGCGGCGGCGGCGGCGGCGGCGGCGGCGGCCGCGGCGCCGGCGGCAGGCGGCGGCGGCGGCGCCGCGCCGGCGGCCGGCGGGGCGGCCGGGGCCAGCGGGGCGGCCGGAGGGGTGCGGCCGGGATGGCCGTAAACTCTTGAGCGGGCTCACGCACCCATGAGGGGTGTTTTTCAAGCTGACGCAGCTACGAGGGGTGATCTACCGTGCCAGCTGGCACAACGACGAGGGGTGATCCACCGCGCTGACTCAGCTACGAGGGGTGAAGTACGAATTCAATGCATGACACAAGTGGCTGGGGATCTAATGCTTTGTGTAGCTGTTGCCTCGCACGAGAGCTCTCTATCCGGACGGGTGTCCCAATCGTCTCGATCCCCTTGGGTGGGGCCCCGGGAGGAGGGGCATCCCCTTCGGGTCGCCCGGGGCCTAGGCCCTGGGGGAGCGAACATCGCACACGGCAATTTGCGCCTCTCTGGTCAAACGGACCCTTTGGAGGTCGGTTTGCCTAAATGTACCAAGTGGGGCCACTTTGTGTGGTTCCCGCCGCTGGTACGGCCACTCCCAAGGGGACCGTGTCTGCGCGGCCCGCTGTCGGGGTTCCTCCTAGTGCTGGGCTTATGTGTCTTGTGTGGTGCGGGCATGTGCGGAATTGGCGTTGGGCGATGAGCACGATCGTGATTCATGATACGACGTCCCTCCTCTTCCCCTGGCTGGCCCCCCCCCTCTGGTGGGGGCCCCCTCTCTTCTCCCCGTCCTCCTTTCCCTCCCCTTTTCCTCCCCCCCCTTCCCGTGTCCTCCCTCCCCCGCTCCCCGTCCTTGCCCTCCCCTCGTCGTCGTCGTCGTCGTCGTCGTCGTCGTCGTCGTCGTCGTCGTCGTCGTCGTCGTCGTCGTCGTCGTCGTTGTCGGGGGTCCCGGCCGGGGGGGGCCAGTCAGGGCAGCTTCCCTATCCCTCTTTTGCGGAACCCCTGGTTATAATATTTTATACGGCAGCGTTCCTTCCTGCCGGTCCTGGGGCAGACCACGGCCGTCAACCAGGATACCGAGACCGAGACCGAGACGGCCCAAGATGTACGACGGCCGAAAAGGCCCGCAAGAGGCCTCCAAGACGGCCCAAGAGGCCTCCAAGAGGTTCTCCAGGAAGGCCCGACGAGGCCAAAATCATTGATCTTCCTTCGGTTTTGGAAGGATTTTGGCATTTGCACCTTTTCGGCTTTCCGACGGCCCAAGAGGCTCCCAAACAGGCCTCCAAGATGGCCCCAGAACGGCCCTAGAGGCCCCCAAGACGGCCCCAAGAGGCCCCCAAGACGGCCCAGGAGGCCTTTTCAGACGCCCAAGATGGCCTCCAAGACGGCCCTGGAGCATTCCAAGAGGGCCCCAAGTCGGCTCAGGGAGGCCCCTCGAACGGCTTCCCACGGCGTCAGACGGGCCAGGGGACTACCAAGATGGCCGAAGCTGGCTCGAAGCTGGCCCAAGACCGCCCAAGAGGCTCCAGAAGGCCAGAAAAGGCCAAAAACCTTGATTTCCCGTTGGTGTTTGAAAACATGTGACATTTGCTTCGTTTCGGCCTTCCGACGGCCCGATACGGCCCACGAGCCCCCAAAGATCGTCCAAAGATCGCTCAAGAGGCCTCCAAGATGGCCCCAGAACGGCCCTAGAGGCCCCCAAGACGGCCCCAAGAGGCCCCCAAGACGGCCCAGGAGGCCTTTTTAAGACGCCCAAGATGGCCTCCAAGACGGCCCTGGAGCATTCCAAGAGGGCCCCAAGTCGGCTCAGGGAGGCCCCCCGAACGGCTTTCGACTGCGTCGGACGGGCCTGGCGCCTACCAAGGCGGCCGAAGATGGCCCAAAGACGGCCCAAGACAGCCCAAGAGGCCTCCAAGAGGGCCTCCAGGAAGACCCGAAAAGGCAAAAAATATGGATTTCCCACGAGTGTTTGAAGGATTGTGGCATTTGCGTTGTTCGGCCTTCCGACGGCCCGAGACGACCCAAGTGCCCCTAAAGTTTCGCCCAAGAGGCCCAAACATTTGCTGTTGTCTGCCTTCCGACGGCCCGAGACGGCCCCAAGAGGCCCCCAAGCCGGCCGAAGAGGCCTCCAAGATGCTCAAGATGGCCACCAAGACGGCCCAAGAGCCCTCCAAGACGTCCTCCAAGAAGGCCCGAAAGGGTCAAAATGGCCTCCAGGCGGCCAAGAGGACCTCCAAGATGCCCACGTGTTCCCCGAAGGCTTTCCAAACCGATTCGGGGAACACATGGTCCGATAGCTTGGCAGGTCTGGCCTCAACATTCGGCCACATAGGCGCTTCCAAACAGGCAGGGGGCGGCGGTGATTCGCCGTCGGCGTCTTCGGTAACGCCAACGTCTCAATGTGCGCTGGTGATTCCTATCCGCCCCCGCATGATGCCGTGTACATGTATGGACAGATCGAGAGAGAGAGACTTGCACTTCCTCGTTCGACAGCCCGGGCAGCTACAGCCTCGAACATGACCAACACCACCAGGGGGCATCTGCCTGAAACTCCCTTCCGGGGCGCCTGGGTGCGCCCCCAGCTTTCGAACACCTCGGCTTCGACTGCGCATCGGCCTGCGACCCGTGCAGGGGATCGAACGCGGCCACCATGACGTGAGCGGCGCCGACGGCAGGGTGCGCGCTCCCTGGCGCCAGCGCGGCGCAAGGTCCAGCGGGTGGTCCAGCGCGGGCAAGCGCGACGCGGCAGTGAGGCCTGGCGCAACCGTCGGCACACTCTCCTGTCCAGCCCCCCTTCTCTAAGACGAGACCTGGACGAGGGCAAAGTCGGGTGAGGATACATCGAGAATCTCTGTGACCCAGCGGCTCTTGAGGATGTCACTGGCGCCACGGCCTTCTCAGAGCGTTGCGAAACGCCCTGAGAACATTCCCGAACGCTCTGGAGCGGATTCATCCTCGTCCTGGCCCCATCCGACGCAATAGTTACCTCGCCATTCCGCTCTTCCAGTTCAAGAGAATGGTCGGGCCTTGCTTCGTGGCCTTCATCTCCCCTCACTTCCCCCATCTCCCTCAACCCCTCAACCCCCTTCCTCCTACTCGCGCCCTGGGGATGGCGGTAGACATGCGGCACCATCGAAGCTTCAGCCATGAGAAGAGTCACGGCCTTGGCAAAGAAAGCGAAACAAGGTCGAAGTGGCTTCGACCTGCTCATCCAGAGGAACTCGTGGTAAGCGAGATCCTCTGGAGTGCGACCCCGCCTGTAGAGGAACTCGCATGCCACGAAAAAAACAATACCCAGAAACAATCCAGAACAAATAAACTGCATCGTACTCATACTATGTTCGCCGATGAATATGGCGTCGCAAGTTGCTCCTGAGCATGTGTGAGAATAGATGACAAACAATAATATCATCTGACTACTAATCTCGATAATCTGTGCCTGCTGAACCCTATGGAATGACATGTGCTGAAACATAAGCCGGGTGATGAGTCCAGAATCGAGGCATGTAAATCCAGAAACTATGTCAACATGTACGCATACGCCTTCCCGCTGTAAGCGATTATGCTCAAGCCGTTCCTCCCACTCAGCAACCGAACTATTGAGAAATATGGTTTCACCATGTGCAAGGAGTCTAAAATAGAGGCGGAGATCAAGATCGCTTGTGCATGTAGCAAGTACTAGGTACATCTAACATTCCCTGCTCTAGAACATGGAGTACCACTTATCAACGTGGCACCTCCACCTCATCACATCTCATGCCCTGCCATCTCATCGGGTTCACATCTTGTTAGAGTAACTCTACGAAGGCGAAGCCATACTCAGAGCAACTTATGCCTAACTCAGACCCAGACTGTATACACGCATACGCCCTTACTCCAACTCAATCACACTTAGACCAGCTCACTGAAACTCACTCACACCTAACTTCACGTACACTGATACCACTTACCCAACTTGATCCACACAGGTACCACCTACCCACCTACCCGCACTCAGATCCACTCGTACACTGTCCCTCGTACTCACACTTACTCACACTCATACAGTTTTCTACTCAAGTATGCACAATGTCACCCACATGCAGACTAACTCATACCAATTCGCACACAGACTCTCACACTCAGACTCAGCCATGCACCTCAGACTCACTTCCTCAAGCGAACTGCCATTCATAATTACACACCAAGATGTAACAAACACAACGAGCGGGCTTCCCGCGGGGAAACCGCCAGGGGATAAGCGGTATACCACAAGCCCGTTCACGCCCAAATTGCCAGGACCTCTACAGTACTGCCGATTCTGCCTCCAAGAGCCAAGCTTGCCCAAAAGGGCCCCAAAGGTCCAGAGAGCGCCCAACAGCGCTCCAAGAGGGCTCCCGAAGGCGACTGGTCTGGCTCCAAAGCGGCGGCGCCAATCGACGCCACCCCCTCTTTGGATCGATGCCCTCCGAGATTTTCCCAAGAGAACCACGAAGAGCTCTGCAAAAGTCCCGAGGGGTCTCGATAGGTATCCGGCATAGCCGCAACGACGCCCAAAGACGGGCCCAAGAGGTCTTCAAGAGGCTCCCACATCGAAAGCTCTACGACGGCGGTCTCAATCATTGACTGATGGGTCTGGTCAGGCTCGTCTTGAGATTCGGTTTGAGGACTGCCCCCACTTATTGTTCGACTGCATGCCCCCCTGCTTCCCTGACCAAGGCAATTCGCCTGGGGGATAGTGTCTGGATGGCCTGGTGGGGATACGCGAAACATCGCCCAACACTCTCAGCGTTCCAACCTCGTTACTTTGAAGGCCACGGCAAGATCCTGGACTCTCCCGCGCAGGAATATGGTGTTTATTTCACGGCGTCCAGGGATGCCCTCCCCCCCTCCGCTTTAATCACACGTCTGACACTCCGCCACGGCGAGTTGGACCGTTGTCGGCGGCCGGATCCTGATGCACTCGTGGACGCAAGAGTATCTTCCCCTCCCTCCCTTTGTGCCCTTATACACGCCTGACCCTTGCAGATACGATGCTAATTCATATTTTTCTGTGTTAGAAACATGTCAAACTAATGTTGCTGTTTGATCGTCCTCTCGTTTTCTAGCCCGCCAACGTTTTCACTGTAGTTTTGGTCGTCTCTAGCAACGCATTAACATGAGTTGCGGAGCTACGCAAGCTCGACCGCGACCCAATATTTCTCACGCCGAAGCCAGGGCCCCCACGTAGCTTCAGACACAGAAACCTGTCCTGAACTTACCACGGGCGCCAAGCCGTCCAAGCGGCATTCGACAGCAACTCCAAGATAGACGCGGGGATACCGAAGAGGCGGGCAGCATGCAAACAGCTCACGGCCGCCAGGCCTTCCGCTGCGTGTGGCGCTGCGGCAGCGCGGCAGCGTGGCCGCGCACCGTGCTGCACACCACGGCGGCCTGCCGCTGCCGTCGTCGCATGCTCGCGCGCAACTTCCTCTGGGTCTGGACCCTGTCAGCAAAGGAGGGACAGTAGGGATGGGAGCAGGAGGAGAGGGATGAGGAGGAGGGACCACGGTTAGAATCTGCGACACTGGGCCAGCCGTCCGAGGCTCACATTTCTCGAACGCGATTCCCGGCGGCGGGCCCCTCGAAAGACCCCCGAACCAACATCTGACACCCTGTGCTCATGGAGGACGATCGCTGCCAGGCTTTGGATCACTGAAGGGAAACATCCCACGAGGTCTGCCCAGCAGGGAGGGCTGATCTGGTTCAATAATCGCGCCCTCGATACAGGAACAGCACTGCCTGAGGACCACCCGGGCGCGAAGACTGGACATGCCACACATGTCAGAAGGGTCGAGAAATGCGGACATTGTTCATCACGAGGGCCGAGGCCGTGGTATGATTAGCGCCAAGGGAAAATGACATAGATTTAGAGAGTCACCCCCAACAGAAGCGGCCGAACTCATGGAATTTCATGGCACCGTGCTTCCTCCTCCATATAAATGCCCAATGGATCACGGGCCACATGGTCCATCTAACTCCGTCCCTGCCTGACTGTGTTGCCTCTCTTCTTTCTTTGCCTCCGAATGTGTCCAATCCTCGGAACCAGGACTGTCTCTGTGCATACTTCCGTCGCTCCGACTTTCTATTAGTCTGCCCCATCTCCCTCGTCGGTCTCTATCACTCTCTCTCCCGCTCAACCCTTCCCCAAGCATATGTTGACTGAAACGCTTACGCTGCAGACGACCGCATTGACGACATCCCCACCTCGAATCCTTCCAAAATTCAAGCACCCCTTTTGGACCTCCTTTCCTCCGCCTGAGTCCACGTCCTCTTCCCCCTCCTCCTCCTCCTCCTCCTCCTCCTCCTCCTCCACCTCCTCTTCCTCCTCCTCCCCCCGGCCCCCGTGGACGACGCCAAACCAGGACGAGGTTCACGGGGGATGTGGGCCTGGCATGCCGATCAGAGCGCGGATGCCAAAGGGGGTCATGTCACAAGGTGCTGGACCGATCCTGGATACCCCCCTACCCTTCAGACGTTGCGAAAAAATGCGCAACATCACAACACATCGCGACCGAAACCCCAGACCACGTTTTTCTGCATCATTCTTCTAACTTGATCGATCTGTGAGGGTCCTGGGGCCCGAAACTGGGCAACAACGCCCGTTACGAAAGAATTGCGACGCCAAGACCTCAGGGTACACTGAACCGCTCGCTGCGACAACCGGACAGAGGGCCGTGAGAGCGGAAGTGGCTCAGCCAGCTTCCTGGCCCTACATGTCGTTTTGGGTTCTCCTCCTCCTCCTCCTCCTCCTCCTCGTCCTCATCCTTCTATCATTCCTCCTCCCCCTCCTCCTCCTCGTCCTCATCCTCCTACTTTTCTTCCTCCTCCTCCTCCTCCTCCTCCTCCTCCTCCTCCTCCTCCTCCTCCTGCTCATCCTCCTACTTTTATTCCTCATATCATTCCTCCTCCTTCTCCTCCGAGCTCTTGCTTCCACACAACGCGAAGTGTCGCGACCACCTGGCACGGCCCGCCCCCGCTCCCGCCCCCCCGAGGCCCACCCGGGCGCGGCCACCGTCTGCATGTGGCCCGGCTTCCTGCGGGCCGCGGCCCCCGAACGCCACGCCTCGGCGCCGCGCGCGCGGCTGCTCAAGCTCGGGCCGGCGGCGGGGAGTCGCGCCACTGGGGAGGCACCAGCCAGGAGTCGAGCAGGAGTCCGACTACAGAATCGATGCAACCAGAAGCTGATTGGTCCGTCGAACCGAATGAGCATACGCAGAATGCTGCGTAACACACTGACCCTCTGCGTTTTTTTCTGTTTTCCCATAGTTTCAACCACGAATTCGGGCGAGTCAACTCTGTAGTTGATCCCCCGCTCGAAAGAGAAGGCGCGCGCTGCGGGTGTACAGTGAGCAAACGATGAATCACAGCCCCCCGGCATATTTGAGTTGTCCTTCGTATGATCCGATGACCATCATCATGGACACGAGGACACGGTGCCAAAGCAGTGCCCCGGCACTTTGACATGTTTTAAGCAGTTTCAAAGCAGTCCCACGGAACTGCATTGAGCGTTGTCACAAGGGCGTGTCACATGCGACGTCGGATGGCGATTATGACGGTGACGATGTGCATCACGATGATGATGGTGATGAGGATGGTGTTGGCGATGAGGACCATGAAGATAAAAAGACAGTGGTGATGAGGATGATGATGGTGACGATGATGATGACGATGGTGATTGTTACACCTTGTGTGTCCTGCACCATGCTACACTTGTCCGCAACTGCGAACATGCTGCACTTGCCCGCAAGTGCGGTCACCACCAACGCTGCGACTCGAAACTCCATGGGGCGCGGTCGGCCGACCGCCCCAAGGAACCCGCTTCTTGCGTGGAGCCCCCCTCCATCTCGTAGTCCGCCCACGCGCGAGAATGCCCAGGAAGCGAGCCCTCAGTGGCATTGTCCGCAACTGCGGCGCGATCGGAATGCCAGTCCCGAGTGGGCCCGTCCTGTCATCCCGTCGAGTGCCAGTCCCACTGGGGCCAGCCCTGCCATCCCGTCGCGGGACCGTGCGCCTCCCATGCGCCGCTGCCGCTGGCGCCGCAGGACCGAACCGCCGCCGCCGCATGAGACGCGGTCGCCGCCGTTGGCAACCCCAGCGTCGCTCCCCGCGACAGCGGCTCCCATCTGGGTCTGAACGTCTCTCCCCGCGACTGCCTTCCCATCAGGGCCTGCGGCTCCCATCCGGGTCTGGGCACCCTGCCCTCTTTGCCGACCTTCTCGCCGCAGACAAACAGACAAACAAACAGACAGACAGACGAGCCATACGCCGGAGCGCGCGGGCAAAGGAAGACAGCCAGCCTCTTCTCACCGCTTTGCGGGAAAGGCGGCACGCGCGCCCTCTAATTCACATCGTGCGCGGCAGGGGGAAGAGGAGGAGGAGGAGGAGGAGGGGGTAAGAGGTAAGAGATAAGACCGATCGCGAAGCGAGTTCAAAACATTAAAACCCCACACTGCCAGGGCATATGCAGTGTGTTGGGTCCAACGCCTCCAGGACCGGCCCCCCCCGAGGGGAGGGGGCCCCCCTGCCACCCGCCAGGCACTCCGCGCACTGGCTGGGGACACAGGGCACCCCTCGCCACCAGGCGGGGCACCTGGTGCGAGTCTCGGGGCGGGTGCCCTGGCCTGCTCCCCCAGTCCCCTTGCCCAAGGGGGACAGAGCAGGACTCCCCATGAGCCTGGCCGAAGCCAGACCCCCCCTCCACACCCTGGCGTGACCGGGGAGTCGCCGGGCCAAGACAGTGGAGGGACCCGAATCGGCCGTAGCCGAAACGGGATTACTGTTTAGGCCCGAAGACCGGGGTCGGTGCCCCCACTGCCGAAACCACCCACCCACCCACGGCACTGCCGTGGGTGGGTGGGTGGTTTCGGCAATGGCGCAGCCCCTCATACAGGCCACGACTAAGCGGGTTTCAGTTCCCCCGGACGCCGGGAGGTGCCGCCCACACCAACCGGCTGCCCGCCCGGGGGAGGAGGAGGAGGAGGAGGAGGAGGAGGAGGAGGAGGAGGAGGAGGAGGAGGAGGAGGAGGAGGAGGAGGAGGAGGAGGAAGGGGAGGAGGGACACACACACACACACACACACACAAAAAAAAAATACAAATCCGCCGACCCTGTCGGCGTGTGTGAGGGGCTTTTCCGTTCGAGCCGTCATCTCCGTGATTCTTTGTACTCGTCGTCTCTGTCCTGCGCCCCAGCCGCCCGAGCCGCGCCCGAGCCGCTCGAGCCAAGCCGACCTTGAGCAACGTCGTAATTCAGTCGAAGGGAAGCCCCTTCCCTTTGATCCCTTCCCCGCCGGGAGGGGGGGGGGGGTATCGACCCCCCCCCCGGGTCAGATACGACGCCCCCCCCCCGTACCGACCTTGAGCAACGTCGTAATTCAGTCGAAGGGAAGCCCCTTCCCTTTGATCCCTTCCCCGACCGGGAGGGGAGGGGGATCGACCCCACCCCGGGTCAGATACACGCCCCCCCCCCGTAGCCGACCTTGAGCAACTCGTAATTGAGTCGAAGGGAAGCCCCTTCCCTTTGATCCCCCCGCCGGGAAGGGGGGGGGGTATCGACCCCCCCCCTGGGTCAGATACGACGCCCCCCCCTGGGACTCCTCTTCCCCTGGGCTCCAGCCAAGCCGACCTTGAGCAACGTCGTAATTCAGTCGAAGGGAAGCCCCTTCCCTTTGATCCCTCCCCCGCCGGGAGAAGGGGGGCAGCGGGGGGGGGTAGCGACCCCCCCCCCCGGGTCAGATACGACGCCCCCCCCCCGTACCGACCTTGAGCAACGTCGTAATTCAGTCGAAGGGAAGCCCCTTCCCTTTGATCCCTTCCCCGCCGGGAGGGGGGGGGGGTATCGACCCCCCCCCGGGTCAGATACGACGTCCCCCCCCCGTACCGACCTTGAGCAACGTCGTAATTCAGTCGAAGGGAAGCCCCTTCCCTTTGATCCCTCCCCCGCCGGGAGGGGGGGAGGGGTAGCGCCCCTGGGCTCCAGCCAAGCCGACCTTGAGCAACCTCGTAATTCAGTCGAAGGGAAGCCCCTTCCCTTTGATCCCTCCCCCGCCGGGAGGCGAGGGGGGGGTAGCGGGGGGCGGTAGCGACCCCCCCCCCAGGTCAGATACGACGCCCCCCCCCCGTACCGACCTTGAGCAACGTCGTAATTGAGTCGAAGGGAAGCCCCTTCCCTTTCCCTTCCCCGACGAGGGGGGGAGGGGGGTTCCGGGGGGGGTCCCAGGGGAGTCCCGGGGAAGTCCCGGGTCAGATACGACACCTCCCTCCCCCACCTTCCCGTCCTTCTCCCTTTTCCCCAACCGTGCCTCTTGCTGCGCATTGCGAACAGGGTCGGCGGCACCGGCCGTAAGGCCTTCGCAATCCCACCAGTCCTTTGGGCGTGAGTGGTTTAGAGAGCCCGCTCTGTTCTCAACCCCCTTTCTTCCCCTTCGGGGAGGGGTTTACCCCTCCCCCTACCCCCTCCCCCTGGGCCTGGAGAGGTCCCTCCGCGGGTGGCCGGCGGGGTCTTTTTCGACTCCTGGGAGGGCTAAAAAACGACACCCCTCACGAGGATTCTGGCCCCGACGGGGGGGGGGGAAAGGTGCTCCCCTCTTCTTCGAAGCCCAAATCATTGATTTTACTACGGTTTTGGCCCCATTTTGGCTTTCTGAGGGGGCAGCGCTAATTAAAGCTCCCCTCTTCTTTCAAGCCAAAATCATTGATTTTACTTAGGCTTTGGCCCCATTTTGGCCTTTTGAAGGGGCAGCGCTAATTAAAGCTCCCCTCTTCTTTGATCGACTTCCTCCAAGATGGCCCCAAGAAGCGCCCAGGAGGCACCAAGAGGCCCCAAGATGACCCCAAGAGGCCCCCAAGAGGATCCCAAACGGCCCAAAGAGCCCCCCCCGAGGCACCCAAGACGCCGAAAAGCCCATCAGGACGACCCTCTACTCGCCTGGGCGTCGTTTCTGGACGGGCAGGAGGAGGGGCCCGAACGACTCACACCAGGACGAGGGGCCCGAACAACTCACACCACGAGAAGCCCGAACGACTCACACCAGGACGAAGAGCCCGAACGACTCACACCACGAAGAGCCCGAACGACTCACACCAGGAAGAAGGGCCCGAACGACTCACACCAGGACGAGAAGCCCGAACGACTCAAACCACGAGGAGCGCTTTCTCTCCCTCCTCCTCCGCCTCGTCCTTCTCCCGCTCCCACCACAAGGAGGATGTACAAGGAGGCGGGAGGAAGGAGGAACAGGGAAGATATGCGGGGGCAGGCGGAAACACGCCTGAAAAACACGACTGTCAGCATGCTTCGCTAGAGTTGCTGTTTTGAGATGGGCTGGTGGGGATACGCGAAGCGTGAAGAATTTGCGCCACGCTGCTGGCTCGCGGACACATTGCATCATGGCTGACTCGATCGAAAACTGCGGAGCGACGGCTTTATACAAACACTTCACCCATTCATTTCTAGGCCGGCCCTTTGCACGAGCGCACGCGTCTGCGGCTGGTCTCGCGCTTCCAGGTTGGAGGTGAGGCGCCGCAGAAACTCAGAAGCCGTCGCCCTACATATGTTTCCAAACCACAGTAGTTGAGACCTTAACAGTTGCACTGTGTAGTGCTGTTGGCCTGACTGCAACAGCACATGCTCGTTGGAAACTCTTGAAACGCACGCGTGGGGAATGTGCAAGATGCGACGTAGGCACCTCGCTTGGAAGCCATCTAACCTTTTTGCGTTCGGTTTTGTTGAGCCACGCCGAAGTCAGCGAGTACATAACTTTACTTGTCACCAGTGCTTGAAAAAACGTGAAGCTTTCTAACAGCACTAATTGAGGCGTGCTTCCAGGCGCGGCTGCGTCTACAGAATTCACCCCAAGCAGCTCCCAATGTTATGCCCAATTCTCCACATAACCTCCCCGAGCTTGACAGTGCGGCCCCAAGATATACCTTCGAATCTTTCGGTTGGATTGGATCACCACTGGGCGAGCTGAGGTTGATGTCGCAGCGAAACGGCACGAGTTGAAACTGATTCCAATGTAGCTCCATACCAACCAGTGCTCCTGCGCGAGCGATTTCTGCCAGCATAGCTTGTAGTTGATATTGGCTGCGGCCCGCAAGCAGAGCGCCATCAGCATACAAAGGTATAGCCAAGGATTATTCCGCCAAAGCTTGTCGCACTCCAGCCTCTGCATGGCGCGCGGCGCCCCGGATAAGCATCGCCATCGCACTCGCGAACAAGAACGGGGACAAAAGGCATCCCTGGAATATTCCGGAATATTGCTGTCTTTCTGCAGGCCGTTGCCGTCCGTCTGCAACGCGGGATGTTCTGCCGCCGTAGACGTCGCCAATGATGTTCAGGACGCGGCCGGGGGGCCCGAAGTTCCGCAATGCATCCAACAACGCGCCCACGTCGATCGAGTCGAACGCATTCTCCCAATCCAGCGCGACGAAGGCTACGCCCCCATGCTTGTCTGCAAATGCCAATTCGACGTAACGGCGCACGGCGCGCATTGCGTCCGACGCCCCGCGCCCCCGACGGAAGCCGAACTGGGTCGCCGTTAATCTATCCTCGGCCCCCGCGTCCTGTAGCCGCTTCAAGATGAGTGCTGCCATGAGCTTGTAAGCCACGCGCAGCAAACTGATGGGGCGACACTTGTCGCAAATGTCGAGGGCGCCTTTGTTCTTATAGATAGTCGATCTAATTGAGTGCTTCCGATCCTCTGGCACGGCCTCTTCGTACCATCATTTCTTACACAAATCAGTAATCCATTCGAGCCAACCCTGGTCCGTAGCAGTAGCTTTCCAGTATTCCGCTGGTACGTCGCCCATTCCGCAAGCTCTGTCACGCTTAAGATTCCGGATCGTTTGTCTTGCCTCTTTTGTTGTGAAATTTCCTTCCAGGGCTGGCAGTGGGTCTCCAATAGGGACGTCGTCGACATATTCTGCCACTCGTACTTTCCATGGCACTTTCTCCAAATACTCTGCCACTGCGTCCGCTCTTTGAGTGCTGGCACCAACTCGCCACTCATGTCTTTCAGCCTCCCCTGCCTGCGAAGTTTGGGTCGGCAGTGTCTTCCGAGAGCGTCCCAATTTCCATTCGATATCTGTGCATCCACCCAAACTGTCTCATCATGTTTGCTCGGATTTGTCGGCGGTTGCTCTTGCATGGCTGCGCCGGTCGATCATGTCGAGCGTGGCTGGCGTGATCCATGGCTCGACGACTTCATTCTGCTCGTTCGGCAACGCGCTGGCTGCTATATGGACTGCTGTCATCCCTTGGCCCCGCGTATCTTGCAGATTAATTGATTCCGCCGTCGCCGAAGACACGTGATCTAAGAACGACTCCACGTAAGTATTCGACGCCATCGCATCCTGCATGGCATGCCTGTTTGGACGTCCTTTTGAATCTGGTGTTTGGCAATCTCTTGGCATCGAAAGTGTAGCAATCATCTGAAAATCATATGTAGCGAGTGCTGCTTCTCGGCGGCTTTCCAGCGTAGCAATGCGCGTTCGCAGAGGGTCTTCGCACAAGAACAGATCCAATATGTTGAACTGTTCTTCTGAGATTGCGTCTGATGGCAATGCCCTGGCCTCCATGAGTGTGACTCTCTCCTCCAGCGGCTGCTGCAGAAAAGTGAACGACCTGAACGTGGCCACTCGTGCAGAATTCTACCATCAAATCTCGATTCGGTTGCTCAACTTGGCGCTGTGCGCGCCGTCCCCAACCCCAATCTCCCATAATATGTTGCTATCCTGGCTGAGCCCGCCCCATTCTGGCGTTGAAGTCGCCCGGGATGAATTTCCCAGCGTTTGCATTGCGATAGCGGTATGCCAAGTCCAACGCGACGTAAAAATGACGACGTTCAGGTAGAGGCTTAAGATTGTGAGGAGCGTATCCTGTAATCACGGGTTTCTAGTTTAATCCAAGCCAACCGGTCTGACATCTGCTTGCAAGCCTTCACTGTGTGCCGGCGCGGAGGCGATGCACAAAAAAAAGAGCGCCACGGCGTCTTCTCCAGACAGTATAATCTGATGGGCATTGGCATCAAAGATCTCCGCCTTCGCAGCCAAAACCTCGACGCCATATTTCTCCCTGTGTCTAAGAATCTCTTCGAATTTTGTGTCTGTGAGGCCTCGCACATTCCAAGTCGCCACCTTGAGTGGAGTTGAAGCTGGGGCGGGAGCAGCAGCATTATCTCCTCCTCTTCCTCCCCCCAGTTCTGCATTCGAACGGCTCGATCAGCCAAGCTGCGGGAGGGCGCACAGTTCCCGAGCACGAAGCCAGCAAAGTGATGGATGCATTCCAGCACGCGGGACAACCTGCCTGCAGCCATCAGGAAAGAGAGCCATCAGGAAGGAAGGGAAACAGAATGGAGAAAGGGAGCAACGCAGGGACAAAGTGGGGAAGCTGGAGGGAGTGGGAATGAGAGAGGAGGGAGAAGTGAAAGGGGGAGGACGGAGGACGGATGCTCGCTCTGGTCTGATAAGACTTGGCACAGTCGGAATATAGCATCGGGAAGCGTGAGTTCCACGAAAACTGAGAGGTCAGACAAGTGAGGCCAGACTTGAAATGATGGAGCTGCTCCTTCTTCGTACTAGAACTTATACTATTTGTATGTTCCTTCTCGTTCGTTGTCGTCTTCGTCTTCTTATCATCATCCCTCATGCTATGATTAGATATTAGTCGCTTCTTCTTCTTCTTCTTCTTCTTCGCATTTGCCCCTGTCACTGTTGCTCCGTCTCTCTCTCTCTCTCTCTGGCTCCCCCTACCTCTTGCTGCATATTTTTGTGATCCCTCACCAATTATCGTGGATCCCCCGATGCGGCGACACACCGAGAATCCCCAGGAGAGTCAAGGATCGAATCGCCAAGTCGATCGGCGACCGCAATGAATCGGAGCGGCGGGAATCGGCAGCCAAATCGGGAAAGACGTATCGGGGACATCGGCAAACTTATAAGGCCTCCATTGAGAAACCAAGATCCAAATGGGAATCCGACATCGAATCGGAATCGGAATGCATCGAAATCCACTCAAGTCGGGTCGGAGGATACGACATTGGCCCTGTCATGGTTCCTCCCAGCTTGTCCTGCCTCCTCACCCTGCTACCGCTCCTGCCCCTCCTCATCCACACCACCGCACCCCATCCCTGCTTCCGACCCTGTGCCAGTCCGTGTCCCAAATTGGGGATACCAAAAGGTACCGATACGCTACTCTCTGGACCTCCCCCGGGGTGCGTTCTGACCAGAATTTCGAGGCGAATCCCGCGGTGGCGACGAGGGCCTCCCAGGAGGCCCAAAACGAGGAAAACGGGCGAAGGGTAGAGGTATGGGTGCCTTTCCTCCTCTGGTAAATAGCGCCTCCTCCTCCTCCTCCACCTCCTCCTCCTCCTCCTCCTCCTCCTCCTCCTCTCCCCCTGGCATTTCCCCCCTGCCGCGGTCGGACGGTCCTCCCGTGTCGCCGCGAGCGCGCGCTCGCAGTGAGCCGGCAACAGAAAACAGCAGGCGCGGAGGGAGAGTGCCGCACCACGTCACGATTGCACACATTGACCTGCCCGAGAGCACAGGGAGCCATACCGAGCGAGAATTCGCTTCTCCGGGGTCTAGATGTGCGTGACGTACGCTAGCCGTCCGTCTGGCGGAAGCGGACGACGAATAACGGAGGACGAGGACAGCGAGAAGGGGACAAGGCAGGAAGGGCGACGAAAACAAGGCGGAATCTGATAGAATCAAAAGTGGAGGAGGAGCGTATGAAACCAAAGATGCGGCGAGTCCGCGGGCCTCCACTTGCTAGAAGAACGGTGGGTTCGCGCGGCGTCGGCGCAAGTAACAGTTTTTGACACCGCCTCGATCGTTCAACCTTGAACCGATCGTGTCCCCGATCGTTCAAGGATGAATTCCGTCGGGTCCTGTGGCGTTACCATGCCCCTCGGTGCTTCCGCGTCGTTCTATGATGCGGAGTTCAACCTTGAACGCCTTCGCTGGCGTCGCTGGCGCGCCATCACCGCATGAATTTACCGTGAGAAGGCGTGTGTGTTGATTGGCTGCCCCCCTCATCTTTCCCCCTCCCCAGAAGAATCAAACATCCCATTTCGGGGGGGCGCATGAGCTCGTCAACGCACCGCTGGGGCCCTCAAACCCCCTAAATGCAGCACTCGTGGTCTCCAAGATGCCCAGGACGCCGATTAAGATGGCACAATAATGGCCCAACCACGCGGGAGAGGCCTCAAGAAACATCCGGGATGGCCTCAAGACTCAAGACGCCCCAAGAGGGCTCCAAGAGCCTTACAAGATGGCTTTAGTAAAACACGTCATTGGTTCTATGATGTTGGTGGATTCTGGCGTTCTCGCCTTATCGCACAAGCCCTAGGCGGCCCGCGAGGCCCCCCCACCCCAAGACCGACCCACGACTGCCCAAGAGGCCCTCAAGACGGCCAACGAAAACCCTCGAGAAGGCCCCACCAGGGACCCGAAGAGGGTCCAACAAAAATCCTCAGGACGGCCCAACAAACACCCTCAAGAATGCCAACATAAACCCTCAAAACGGCCAAATAAAAACCCTCAAGAGGGGAACTCGTAGGTGCTCCAGGAGCCCTCCCCCACAAGATGGCCCCCAGCAACATACCCCCAAGAGGCCGCCAAGAAACCCCCAGAGGACCCCACAACGCCCGAAGTTATTCTGAGAAAAATCCCGAGATGCGGCTCCCGATACCTCCAGTACTCCTCCACGAACCTCCGCAACCAGCGCGGAGAAAGGCGAGGACGAATCAGCAACAACTACACGCAGGCAGCATGACGGACGACGGCAAATCTCCACTCCTGAGGGTCGGCGGAATGGCGTAAGCCTCTTGAGTAGTAAGACCATGGGGGGGCATTCCAGGGGAAGCCCTCGAAAGGAGGAAGTCCCCTGGGGTAGAGCGCAAACAAGGGTGAGAGAGATGCGCGAAACATAATCCCATGGAAATGCCTATGGTCTCACTAAGTGCGGCCCACATCTCCCGCGAGGACCAATCTGCCTTGCACACAACATGAAGAATGGGAAACAAAAGGCGACGACTCAGCCGTATCGCCCATCCAAGGCGGCGCCCGTGATGATGAGCGCGACCGACACGGCGAACATGGTGATAGCCGGGGGGGGGCTTCGGCGAGGCGAAGGCGTTTGGAGGACTCGGGCCCCGCGCTCATCCTTTTCCCCTCGTTATGCGACTAGTTTGAAGCCTTGGCGAATGCGCCGTCGTGCCCACGTGGAGGCGTGGTAGAATTCCGGGAGCTGCCTGGTAGGTGTTCTGTAATCTTCAGCGACCCGTCCGTCCCCTTCCCCGTAGCGCTTCACCGCATGCACCGCCCCCCATACCCCGGGGCCATGACCCTCATAGAATACAAATGAATCAACGCTGACGAGGTCGAGATCTCTCGTAACTAACAATGGGTCCGCACTGCGGAGCGTCCGAGACGGTCGAGGCAGGCAGTCAAGGCCGCCGAGATGGCCCCCAAGATGCCTCCAAGACGGCCCTCGATTGTCCGAGGGCGGCCCAAGATGGCCTCAGTATCGCCCAAGAGGCCACCACGACGGCCCAAGAGGGCCACAAGAGGACCTCGAGTAGGGCCCAAAGGAATCATCATTGATGTTGCTCAGGTCGTTGAAAAAGGAATCGGGAGTCTTCACACTTTCGGGCTTCCCTCAGCTCCAGAGGACCCTAATAAAGAGGCGGCCAAGAGGCCCCAGGACGGCCTGGAAGGGCTCGCAAATGATTACATACATACGCCAAGCATCTTCAAAGCAATCCAAGATGGCCCCTAGCCGGCCCAGGGCAGCCCCAAGAAAACAAACCCAAGCTGGCCCAAGATGGCCCCCTCAGGGGCCCAACGCAGCCTTACAGACTCCCTCGGCGGTCCAAGGATGAACTGTTCGCCCTTGTTTGAGAACTAAAGTTTGACACGCAAGCGATGGGTCAACTCCTGCAACTGCCATTCGGGGCTGGGTCAACTGCTGGCTGCCATTCGAGAGGGATGGGTGGGAAGGAGCTGGACGCCAGATGTGGTAAGATCCCACCCAGCTTGCCATCCCTCCTCTCGCCGCTCTCCTCCCGCTCCCCCCCCCAGGCCTCCTAGGTGGGGTCCGAGTAGATGTGGTCGGAGGATCGTGCCGCATCGCCAATGCGTCGACGATGCATCATCGATGATGCATCGGCGACGTCGCCGTGGAGCTAATCGGGCCCCACATCGAGCCGCATCGGCGATGCATCGGCGATGCAGCGCGATTCTCCGACCCCGTCTACTCCGACACCATCTAGGAGGCCTAGGCTCGGGCTACCCCCTCCCCTCCCGATTTCACCCCCTCCCCCCCCTCCCCCCCGCTTCGCTGCCCCTCTTCCCACCGCTGCCTCTCGGCCCCCCCCGCTGCCCCTTCCCCCTTCCCATGCCCTCCTTCCGCCCCCCTTCCCGAGCCCACTCTTCACCTCCCTGCCTCTAAGACGAAGCCAGGACGAGGATACACTCGGGTGAGGATCAATCGAGAATCCCTGAAATCGGGCGGCTCTGGAAGATGTATCGGGCGTCGCGGCCTTCTCAGAGCGCTCTGGAATACTCTGAGAGCGTTCTGGAACGCTCTGGAACGGATTCATCCTGGTGCCAGCCCCGTCCGAGCCTCTGCCAATACTTCACCCGCTGGTGTGAAAACACCGCGCCTGGCAGCTCTGGAGCCCCTCGGCAGCCGAAGCCCCCCTCCGGCATGGGCAGGCGGCCCTCGATCTCCCCGTAGTCCGGCGGGCCCCTGCCACAAGGGCAGCTCGGCTCAGCATCGTGGCTCTGGAAGGGGAGGGGTTTGAGCTGAGCTGACCCCCTCCCCTCCCGTCCTTTTTCTTTTCACATCCCTTCCACTTCGCGTTGCTTCCCTTCCCGATCTCTCGTCCAGAAATGGGCAAGCGCGCTCCACTACTCGCAAAGTAACTACTCGCAAATGGCCTGGAGCCGCCGCGGGGGATTTACGAGTTATTACATTGAGGAAGACATGTGTTTTTTCTGACGTTTGCGAGTAGGCACTTTGCGAGTAGCGGAACGCGTTCGGTGAAAGGAGGTCCACACCTCACACGCGGCCTGGGAGGTGAGGTCGCCATCAGACGGGCTGCTGGGGACGGGCGACAGCCTGCTCGATAGAAGATGCCCCAAAGGCCGCCGACGACGATGCAGGTCTGCGGGGGAAGGTCCCAAAAACTGCTCGCATCTCGAACGGCACGCTTCGGGACACCCAGCAGTGGCGGTGGCGGCGGCAGCAGCTGCATCGAGCCACGCACCGTCCTTCTGGTCCCTGCGTGGGCAACAACACACTTCTCGGTCTTCGGTGTCCAGTCATTGTCCAACTCGCGCCAAAAGCATGTCCCAGCTCTGCTCTCCCCTCCGCTCCTCCTCCTCCTCCTCCTCCTCGGCTATGGTCGGACGGTTGCGGCTGCCGGTCGTCCTCCCCATGAAATATTGTGAGACCTTCCTCCATGCGTGGTGAAAACATAACAGGGTCGGCGCCTGTGTTAGTGGGAACCCGATCGTCTGCCCCAAGTACGTCATTGCGAACATCGAGGCGAAATTGCCCATGGCCCAGTAGGCGCCTGACTCGGGAAGGGGTTCGAGGCGAGTCGCGATCCAGCAGTGGACAGATGACGTGTAATGGAAAAATTGTGCACAGACAGAAGTGGCCATGGAATGTAGATTTAATCCCGACGTACCCTTGGCACGTTGGGGCGTGCTCGAATGCCTACTAATTGTCCTGTCGGACTCTTGTAGTTGCCTGCGAGCAACCCCCTCTCCCATCCGAACCACACATCCACCTAACATTGTACCCATCATTTTGCTCCCAGGCAAGCCTCAAGACCATATCAGATGCTGCCCAGACGACTCAATCATGCCCCAGAGAACGCCAAGATCTCTCCAAACGTTCCCCGACACCCCCGACACCCCCCTCGACGCCTCAAATGAGCGCAAGAGTGCCCAAGAAACGCATAAGATGCACCCAAGAAACCTCTGTAGGACCACACACGCAAAGAAACATAGGCTACTGTTCCCAATCACATCCGAACATAACTACCGCAAAATCACCCATAATGCATCATCAACAACATACCGTCCTGGTCAAGACCCCCCCAACATCACCACAAAGCGGCCCCATGAACACCGCAGATACGGTGCCAGATCTGCGCCCCAAGAGGGGCCCAAGATGGGGCACTCGAACTGGCATGTGAAGCCCTCAAGCTCAAGACCCACCCCGAGACCACCAGCTCAAGCGCCCAAGACGCCCCAGAGTCCCCCCCCCCCCCGGAAGCTCCCAGTAGGCCTCCAAGAGGCCGCCAGCAGACCCCAGAGAGGCCGCCCCAAGAGACCTCAACATGCCTATGCCTCTGAAACACGACCCGGCTATGCCTCTAAAACACGACCCAGGCACAGCGGCGGGGTTGAGCCGACGACCACCAAATTCGGCGATTGCTACTCTATCGAATACCCGCCACCGAGCTGCGCCCCACCTGGTATGTCAAGTAAGAAGAGTCCCCCTCCGACGGGTCGAGCAATCGGAAAGCATGCGTAGATCAAACGACGACAACGGACACAATGACTGTCACACTGACGCTGGCCCCTCCACATACCACCTCTCACCTACCCCCCTCCTCTCCCCTCAGAGGCCCTCCCTCCCCTCCGATGAACCGATCCCCCCACTTCCTCCCAGACTCTCCTCATGCATTCTGATAAGGCTTCGGGTTGCGCACAGACAGCCCCCTCTAGGTAGTCCAGGCTGGCCTCAACAAGGCCCCCCGAGTAGTCCCAGCTGGCCTCTAGAGGCCCCTCGAGTCATCTGGAGTGGTCTCAACACCCTGGCGCCGCGTCCGGCGGCGTGTCTGGAGCGCTCCGCGCCCCAAGGTTGAGGTGATGAGACCTCCCCAGACTACACGGGGGGCCTGTTGACCCTGTGAAGGCCAACTGGGACTACTGAGGGGGTGCTGTCCGTGCGCAACCAGAAGCCTGACCAATGCACTCCCGTTCTCCATCAGCCTTCCCCGCTTCCAAGGGAGAAACGTGGACCATCGCCACTGAGAACCCATCGATGGGGCGCCGACCGCCGGGCGGTGACACGCCCGAGCGTCACCCATCACAGGACGACGCTCAAGCGTGCCGCCGCCCAAGGGTCGGTCCTCGTTCGGTGGGTTCTCAGTGGCGGTGATCCATGTTTTCCCTCCGACGGGGCAAACAATTACCAGTACTGCTACTCCCCCCGGACCTCTCCAGGAGTGCGATGTGATCAGAATTTCTAACATAATCCAGCCATGGTGATGAGAACTCTCCAGGACGAACAGCGCTACTGGTATCTTTTCCCCTTGTGAAACGCACTTGCGTTCAAACAACCTCCACCCGTTTCATCTTCATCTGAGCTAAATGCCCGTCGGGCGCAGGGGGTGGCGCCGGTGACCAATCCAGGCGCCGCAGCGACCGCGGCCTGAAACTTCGGCAGCCGCCCCTGCCGCGCGGCAGACTGCAGTGGTGGTGGCGGCAACAGCGGGAGGGCTGAAGAGAAGGAGGACGAAGACGATGACGGGAAAGAGGAGGGAGGACAAGGGGAAGGACGAGGACGGGTAGAAGGATGCACAAGAGAAACAAATGTGGACGGCGAGGAAGAAAATTTGAAGAAAAGGAAATCACGACGGCAACGATGAGAACGATAAACAAGACAAGGGTGATGAGGAACAGGAGGACATGCAGCGCGAGAGGGAACTGGAACAGGCGGACGGGCAGCAAGGAACCGAGGATACGCCAGGGGGCTAGAAAAGGAAAGGTGAGGAAATGCTGCGGAGACAGAGGACTAGGATGGAGGGGCGTGGCCAAGACAGATGATGAAAACAAAATGGTTCGACAGAGGATTGGCAGATTCTGGAAGTATGCTTAGTATGTTAGCTTGTGATACTATCGCGAGTGGGTCTGTATACTCAGTAGGCTGGATCATTGAGTTCGGCACTTCTGAGGTACAAATCCGTTGCGCGAGCGCGTACACATGAATGTGATGACGCGCGCGCGCTAAGAAAGAGGCGCGCGCACCCTGCTTCACCTATTACTTGCAGCCGTATAGATCTGCGGAACATCCGATGACCAGCAGCGGTATATAACTAAGGCGGCGGTTGTGGGCGACGACGAGGCAAGAGTCATATAAACTCCTCTCGCGGCAGGATGGGGAGGCCTCGATTCAGCTGACTTCGGACTTGCCGGACTTCGCGACGCCCCGGCGCATCGCCCCCCCCGGTGCCAGCTCTAAAAACATCGCTACGGCACGCGAGGCGGGATGGCAACTACTCCCATCAGGGCTCTTGAAACGGCCGAAGCAGACTGTCGTATCCCCCGCTCATTTCAAAGTGCGCCAGTTCATGGACAATTTCGCTTTTGTTTTTGTTCTGGGACTTTACCATGATCTGCGACAACATGTCGGTATAAGGCAACATGCGGCTTAGCCGCATGCTCCATGCTGTTGTCGCATCGGCGACGCTGTACAGCTCAGTCGTGCATTGCTTCATTATTGCGCAGTCAAAATAAGTATTTCTCTCTACGGGATCAAATTTCTCGTCCGTGCGTGGCGTAATTGTAATATCCCTCTGCCTCTGCGATTCCAATCGCATTCGAGGGATGGTATCTCTTATGGTAATCATAGCTGCTCCACTATGACTACCACCTCTGCCATTCGTTGTACGCGTGATAACCTGAGCCCGTCCAGTAGTGGCGGTTCGTATCCCACTCTCCTGTTCCGCTGGCATCGCACTCCCTCTGAATACACAAGTTCACGCGGCGATGCAATGATGTTGCCGCGGATGCAGAGGCGACGGATGGAGGTCCAGTAGTAGCACGTCGTTGCCAACTCGGAAATCGCCAGTGCGCCTGGCTTGTGGCGGCGGCGTCTTGCCGTCACGTCCAGGATCCGATCTTTTTGGTCTGGGCGGTTCGCGCAACGGCCGAGCGGCGCCATCGGAGAAGGCAATTGCCTCTGGGAAGGCGCCGGACCACTGGTTAAACCTGCAGTCGCACCAGGAGCAGGGTCAGAGCCAGGAGCATCGCCACTGGCTAAGTCAGCGACGGCTCCCCGCGCAGGTGCGCCGATGGAACTGGCGGCAGGGCCTGGGGCAGCGCCACTGGCTAAGCCAGCGACGGCCTCGGCGCCTGCCTCGCCGGGCGACGCCGGGGCGGCCGCCGGTCGAACCGGCAGCATCGCCTATGCCCATTGGGTCCACATTATCGGCTAAGCCGACAGTGGGTCTCCGCCCTCCATGCACGCGCGAATGGCGCCCAAGACGATCACGGCAGCTTGCCCACCGCGATTTACCACCATTCGATCCCTGAGCTTGGCGCTGCACGCATGGTTTTCTTCGGCCCAACTAAATCGGCCGCCGAGCTCCACAATGCAAGGGTGGATCGGCGCGGCGATATTGCGAACTTGGGCCCTGGGGGTAACCCTAGATCATTAATCTACGCCTCGACCGAATCCGAACTCCCCACTGCCGCCTTCCATTTCGCGCCTGATGCGCAGGCGCCGATTTTCCTCCGTTTTGGAAAATGTTCGCGTTCGAAGAGTACTTCCCGATAAACGCCCCCAGCCAGACAGGCAATAGAACGGCCCCCCGAAATGAACTTCGCCACGCGCCCCCTGATGGGCCCAGGAACTCTGCGGGAACTCAGTTCAAGAGGCCAACTGGGGATTTCCAAAAGTGATCAGCACAGCTGAGGAGGAATTTGGGGCGGATAGGTGTTCCCATCGTCACTGCCTTCCTCGAATACTCCCCCACGCACTGACGCGCCGCACCTGTCGCGTGCGGCTCGGATATCATGATGAATATCGCCAAAGCGGTGTCTTCAGCCACGTGGGGGGGGGGATTCCGTGTTCGATCTCCAGGATGCACGAACATCAATCCCCCGTGCGCCAGCGAGTTCCTTCCCCCGCGGTGCGGTTCGAAACGCGCGTGGAAATTCTCGGAGCGAGATTGAAGGGAAACACGACTTCGTCCGCGCTAACATCAGGACCGTCGAGAATGACCAGCACAGGCGGCTCAGCCGCCTGCGCGGGCCCTCTCTAAGCCCATGCCGAAGGCCATCCTGCTCCCATCTCATGGAGAACATTTCTGCGGCGCGAGACCGACTTGGAGGTCCGACGAGGCCGATCACGGAAAACACCGATAAGCACAAACAGATGATCCGCTTGCGACTCGGGATCCGCGGTCGCGGCACAGAATCCCGCAGCGCGGGATAGTCCTCGGGGCCGCCGATTAAACCGGCAGCCTCCTGAGCAGGCCATGCAGGCGCGGGGGTTGCATTTCCGGCGCTCAACGTCGACGCCTCCCACGCCTTCCAAACCTCCTCTAGGGCGGCGATTCCGCCCCTCGCACCTCTCCAATGAAATGTCGCCGACGGGCGGCGCGACATAATCGCGTAAAAGATGACCAATCCCTGGGGGCAACGTCCATTTGGAACCTCATGTGCGACAGAATCCTCTTCTTCAGTGGCTCCAGAAACCGACGGCACGGATCGTTCCTGACGCGGGGGCGATCAATGGATCCAACGCATCTTATGAGGGCGCCGACCCGGGCTCGTCGTCGAGGTGAGTTACGCCTGCCCGGGACTTCCCCCAGCGGGTTTGTCGATCTTTCCTGCGCTGTCACTTGGCTCAAGCGTGCAGATGCAGACTATCATCAGCATTAGCGGCGGATTTTTCCCGCAACTCTTAAGTCTCTCCAGGGCGCGTCGGGCAGCCGCGCTCTCTTCCTCATCGATCAACTCCAGGCCGCGCCGCTTGAAATTGAGCTGAGTCACCTCCGCGCCCCCGCCTGCGAAGCCAATGGCATGGGACGGTCGTGCCCCGAACCCTGATCGGAACTGATGAGGCGCCGGACAACGGAAACGGCCGTCGTCCTTCCAGGGGGGGGGGGTCGCGGGCACAACCGCATCTTCGCCCGTAATCTCAGGTGCGCCCGCAGGACTCGTGGCGCAAAGACTCGGACAATCGCGATCTCCCGACTGGCGATGCCCAACAGGCCGCCCGGCGACAAGGACCTTCGGAGAAACGCGTTCGTCTGACTGGAGGTACACAAGGTCCGATCGGCAGAAAACGCAGCAGCCAGGCTCGCCCACGTCCGATCGAACATGAGGCCCCGGATTATCCGGATAATATTGTCCCACGTCTTCATGTGAGACAGCGCAGTGATTTTCGCAGTGCCAACACACGTATGACGCCAATGCAAAACCACCGCCCCGCCAGGGGAAACTTGCGTCGCAATGACGCGCCGGGATTGGGAGTCGCCGCGCGCTCCCACGGCTGCCGATGGCCCGCGTGGGCGTACCGGGGATAATCGGTCAACGCTTGATTGACCTCGCCCCTGGGCGGTGGCGCCACGGGCTCTAATTACCCGACCGACTGAATCGGCCGGGAGAGCCGCGGCGCGGGGGGTGGATTGTCCACGACGGAGAGCCCCCGCGGGATCGCGTCGGCGCTCATCATGCCATAGTCCAGGGCAGTGAACGGACCAAGCTGCGCCTCCCGGCGCCGAATTTCCCCCTGCATTGCTTGCTGAATAGCCCTCAACGTGGCCACCTGCATCAATGGGCCGCGGCACCTGGACAGCCCACTGAACTCGCAAGAAGCGCGCGCGCGCACAATATTGACGACGAACTCCGAATGCCCCTGATACGAACAAGTGAACGCGGGAACCGGGAACATCCCCAACATCTGTCGGGGGTCGTCGCCCGCCAATGTTTGCCAACATTAGCGCTCTAAGCATGTGATCGCCGCGCGCTTTGAGGCCGCAGATCTGGGCGGAAACCGACGAATGCGCGGTTTGACCGCGCGTTGCCAGGGCAAGCGTTCCGTGATCAATTTCATCCCTGTTCAGCTTCACAATGATCCCCAAGAGTGAGCGCCACCCTCCTGAATTCCGCACGCGACGCAAACGGTGCCTCACAAGGTGCAAGATCAGATCCCCGATACATGTGGCCGTCGCGTCTGCCCGACCACTAGCCCTCGACCTGAACTCCACCGCGCACACCACGCCCCCATTATTGTCTGGCGCGGCGCCCGGCCTGATGGGCATGAGGGCCAGCGTCGCCGCGCGCGAAGTTACCTCGAATGCTTCGTGCGAATGGTAAGTTGCGCGGAGGTATCTTGCAATATAATGACTGTTGGGCTCAAACAGCGTGGCCAAATCTGCACAGGCAGGGACCTGCACGAACCGAGCAATCCTGTGAAAGGTCTTGGGAGCGATCGACCTCGCGGTTGCTTGGCCGCCAGAAACGGGCCCGGACGCATGGGCCCGATCGACGTCCTTCCTGATGGAGGGCGGAGTCCTACCGATAACCGCATCTTGCTCTTCCACCGTCGGAAAAAACGAATTGCTGGCCATTGCAACAGGATGATGATGATTGGGCTTTGGCCCTTGGGGGAGAAGAGCCCCCGGGGGCAACGGCGCCCTGTCTGGGCGCGCCGGAGGGCCC